AAATACAGAGAGAGGTTTAAGAGGTCAAGATTTAACTGTTTGTTAACGCTTGACGACCAAGACTTGATAGAAATATACTGTTTTCTACGGCATGTCATAGAAAGAATAATGAACGAAGTTGAACCTTTCATATTGCGACCTACTAGTATTTTCATGGCCCATGCCGTCCCTGTTCACACACATGTACATGTACTTGGTTTATTAATTCTGATAAGGTAAATAAATACACATATGCAATTAAAAGTTATTATATTTCTGGAAAAAATTAATATAATTTGTCCTTTAAATTGTCATAGGAATTTTCATATAAAATTTTCATATACCGGTATATGAAATTAATTTTCACGGTGATGGGCCAGATATGAAAAAGAAGACGTTGACACTTTGTCAGAATGGAGCCATGTTAAAATCGTGAAATTAAAAGATTGAGGGGAATATGAAAACCATCTATCCTTCTGTATTCAATAATCCAGAAGTGTTAATAATCCACCATCATCCCCATGTCTGTCCCTGACTCCTGAGATCCTCTGTCGTTGTCCCTGATTACCCTGTCCACACCCTGTCGTTGTCCCTCCCTACCCTGACTTACCCCTGTCGTCCCTTGACATTTATTTTGTCCAAGAAAATGAGTTTAAAATATGTGCTTGTTGCAAATTAAGAGTGAAAAATGTTATAGTCTGAAAATTCTCAAGTTTTTTGAAAATATAGACCAAGTAATAAGGAAACATATTTTTAAATGCCTTACTAAATCGTTCTGTATATAGTTTCCATCATTTGTATTGATTTTAAGTTTGGTAGCATTTCGGGAAAAAACGACAAAGAAATGCATTGATTCCAAATAAAAAATAAATTTATCAACTTATTGCATCTTGTGATGCCAGACGGGGTATAAATGTACTTTTTATACCTGTTATGTTATATTTTTAATTTCCTATAAAAATGCCCATCACTTCCACTGCTTTTTCATAGGCGCTTGGGTCAAGGATACTGTATTTTTTCTACATAATGTATTGTCGAGGAAATTCGAACTATACTCGTAACATTTTTTTTCAGTGTGTAGTGTTAATTTTTAGTTTTTTGTAAACCTTTCTGCTTCATATACACTAGAATGTCGCGGAAATTCGATTTTATACACGCTTTAAAAATTACACATCCCACTGTATACTAAGAAGAAACAAGGCTTGCAACTTCATTTGCCCCTTTCCGTGCCCCAGACTCGATTTTTTCCTGTTAAAAGTTATATGCACCATTTACCAGCTGAATTACGAACCCCCATCTCTCCAGAAAATTCTTATATGATGATTAAAATCCTCAGGCATAAACTTTTCATCCATCTTATATTTTTAAATAATTATTTTCTCTCCAATTGCTCCCGTTTAAACTTCTAATCACGGAAGTTGCATTCATATGAAACCAAAACGGGCGTTCCGGATTAATCGAGAGTTCCGAATGACGCTGATGCTATGTATACGCCAGAGAGTATCGAACATATCGCGGGAAAATGGATGAAGATCAACAATGCGCTCTCGAAACTGTCATCAATGGCCATAATCTGCTATTAACTGGACAAGCAGGAACGGGGAAAAGTTTTGTTGTGAAAAATATCATTAAGAAATTAAATTCAAGATTCTGTGTGACGGCCTCTACAGGATTAGGTGAGAAAAGAGACATAAAACACCTTGCATATTTGTCATTACAAGATATACTATATGGTTATTGCTCCTTAAAACGTTGTTTATTCTTCAATTTTTGCATTATAAATTTGTATCCCTTTTGGGATATAACAACCAAATGCACATTTTCAAATGGTTTATTTATCCCAATATTCCCATCTGCTGTTAAAGGTGCAATATGGACACAGATTTGATGTTAATATTTTCTGTATAATCAGATAATATTATGACATATAGATCTACATATTCTTATTGCATTTTACACAAAAATAAAATAAAAATCTTATTTCATTCAAAAGTTATTAAAACTTGAATTTTTTTGGCGGGTTTGATTGACATATCCTTTCACTTTCACGCTTTTCCTAAGTATCAAGAATAAAGTTAAAATTTTTGAAAGTGCAAGGATGTGTCAATCAAACCCGCCAAAAAATTTCAAGTTTTAATAACTTTTAAATAAGATAAGGTTTGTGTGTGTGTTTGTGTGTGTGAAATGCATATAAGTCATAATATTATACAGAAAATATATTTAATTCAAATCTGTGTCCATGCACATATAAGTAAAATGAACACATTAAACTCTAGACTTGAAATTGTTATCATGAATAAATTTCCTTGAAATATAACATTAAATATGAAAATTTTGATTAAATGATGTCACATGCAGTATAACCCTCAAAATACTTTCTCAATATAAAGGCCGTAATAAAAAAATGTTTGTTTATTACTACTATTTAAATATAATTATGGAATGATGAAAAAAATGGTTAGGCGTAGGAGGTAATATTTTACAAGAAAAATGTAATTGTTGGTTAAGTAACATGTTTTTTTTTGGTGACAGTGATAAAAACAACAAAATGTGTTTTTTAGGTGCTTCATTATATGGGGAAGTCACCAAATCATGCACCATTCACAAATGGTGTGGCCTGGAAGATGGGCGTCACCAAAATGAAGACCTGTTACATCTTTTGCAAACAGATGAAAGATTTGAAGTTGCCAAAAAAAACATAAAAGAAACTGATTGTCTTTTTATCGATGAAGTCTCCATGATATCACAGAAAATTTTACAACAGATTGAGTTTGTTTGCAGAGGTTTAAGAAATGTGGACCTATTTTTTGGTGGCCTACAAGTTGTGCTAGTTGGGGATTTTTATCAGTTACAACCCGTGCGAAATGAAATATATGGTGACTTTGGACATCCGTGTTTTTTAGCCCATTGGTTTAAAGATGCCTTCCCTCATGTAATTAATCTGAAAATTATACACAGACAAGATGAAACGGATCTAATAAATGCCATTAATGAAATGGAACAAGGCCTTCCTTCACCGCATACAGTAGCGTTCCTCAACTCTTTATCCAGACCTTTGTCTGCAGAAAGAACTCTAAGTGCTGTTCATCTTTTTGCAAGAAATATTGATGTCATGCTCTTTAACCAAAAAAAATTACATTCTGTTGTCGGTGACCTTCACACATTTAAGTCAGAGGACAGTGGGGAGAGTAAATTGTGTGACCAATTCTTGGCGCCTAAATATTTTGGAGTGAAAATTGGATGCCCTGTTATGCTTCTGATAAACTTAACGGACCACCTTGTGAATGGGAAGATAGGAACTGTGAAACTTATTGAGGATGAATTCATCCATGTAACATTTTGTTTGTTTGGTGAATCTCGGACAGTTAAAATTTCAAAGTTTACATTCAGTAAATTTGACCCTGTCTCAAAATCATCCATTGCATCAAGAAGGCAGTTTCCACTTAATTTGGCCTATGCATTTACTATACACAAGTCTCAAGGTATGACAATTCAGAATTTAGTGGTCGATTGCAGTAATGCAGTTTATCCTGGTCAAATTGGTGTTGCAATTGGTAGAGCACAAACCACTGATGGATTATGTGTTAAAAATTTCAAGCCTACTTTGTGTCGTGCACATCCAGCAGCGGTTCAACATTTTTACGTCCAGTGTCGTTATGGAGAAATTAGACATGACTGTACCTGTTGCAATAAGAAGAAAAGACAAGATGGAAAAGATGAAAATGATGATCATGATGATGAAGGAGATGACAAGGATGATGATAATGGTGATGATGATAATATTGAAGATGATGGCTGTCAAGGTGATGAATCAGACTTGTCAGACTTTGAGTATGACATTGTCAAAGAAATCGAAGTTCAGGAAAAGAGTGCTAACAAGACAGAGGAATTAATGGAAGTCCTTTCCTTCATTATGGAAGAATTTGAAGATACACCTCTTTGTAATGATGCAGCTGAAGTGCAGCATGAAATCCTCCTGACACCTAGTCCATTTATTGAAGGTTTTCACAAGCATAAAACAGAAGTTGAGAATATTGGCAGTAGTGTTTTTCCCACGGATAAGTGCAAGTTTACCCAATCTGATTTTAGAAAATTTTATACTCATTTCAACACATATATTTCCTCTGATCAATTCAGAAATGACACACAAAATGTTTGTAACAAGTTTCATCATAAAGATCTTCTGTATAGGTTTATGACAACATCTATGTTTAAAGTACAGCGAGATGTCTTAAGGGAAGTAGCTAAGAGAGACGAAAAAGAAATTCCATCTCTGCTGGAAAAAATTTCTGAAGATAAAACATTAAGTGGACCTGGAAGGGGAAAAATCCGTTATATTGGAGGATATGTACCCGCAAAGTTGAAATACAGAAACTCTCGTGTAGTCAAGCGATCAGCCTTTGCCCCTGGAAAGGAGGAAGTGATGGAGGAGTGTGAACGTCAGAAGATCCTCCTTAACTCTCTGTGTTCAACAGAAGCAGATTTAATTGACAACACTTCTGATCCAGAAAGCCTGCTTGAAACAAAAAGAAAACAGAATATGTCTGGAAGCCTGTGTAATATTAGTGATCAAACGTTTAACTTTTTTCAACAACTAGAATTAAAATCCCGGCAATTATTTACATATGAAAAACTTGTTGACACCAAATCAAAATTTTTTGAAGTTGTGAAAAATTTGTTACTTGATGATTTCCACTCAAAAAGCTCCTTTTCAGACTTGTTCAGAAACTTAAAGGAGGAAGACAGTGATCATGACAATGAATGTGTTTTTTGTGACCATTGCAAGACTTGCAAAACACTGGTGTATTTGTACAAGGAAATCATGAGTCTGTTTATCAAAGTTTCAATGAATCAATTTAGGAAGGATTTCTTGAGAGCACTCTCTGTGGAAAAATCAAAAGCATTAAGACAGAAACTGAAAAATAGGGAAGATAAAAACAAAAAAAACATTTAATTTAAAAGAGGTCCCAAATGACAATTCAGTTAATAAATTAGCTTCTCACCTAAAAATAAAAAGTGAAATGTTGAGGCAGCCTAATTTTCTGGAAAAAACCTGCACAAAATCACAGCTACTAGATCTTTGCAATGCATATGAAGTAAAGATTGCTAAAAACAAGAAGAAAGCAGATATCAACCAGGCATTGGTGAAGGCAGTACTAGAAGCAGACTCTATGAAAAATCCAGATGCTCTCAGTAAGTGTTTTAAGAATAATTCACTTAAATAATAAATACATTTATTATATTTCCAAGGCTGTGAATGATAATAGTACAGAGTTAATTAGTGGAACTAATATTTTGTATTGTCTGCTATACTTTATTTTCTATGCAACACTTGAACTGTTTTTTTTTCAACTATAGAACCCAGGGGATCTAATAATCCAGACCTTACAGAACTAGTCAGCCTGGGATCTTCTGAAACACAGGCAGTTGAAGCAAATGTGAACCAACCAGGAACTACTGTTACCATTCAAGAGCCACATGGGTCACATTCAAAGCAAGGTATCTGATAAATAATTGTTGCATGATATATCCAGAAAAAATTATTAGCAATATTTCTTTTTAATCAAATTAATGAGTTTTATACATGTATTGGGACTAGTACCTGTTAAAAAAATTATACAGTTAATCAAAAGAATGTCTCACTGCAGTTCCTTTGTTTACTAAATTTTATTCCATTTAGGGGTTGATCCATGTCAAAGCAATCCAGCTGGCAAGTTTATTTCAAGCCCAGGTAGTGAACATACAATTATATATATTTAATTGAAAGTTCAAATTCAATGCAGATCTATTTTGTGTTACATTTATAAATTATGTTCTCCCCAACTTGATTCCTTTGTTTTGGGGTGGGGGGTATAAATAGGATCATTATAATTCACTACTTCACACAAAGATTGTTCATGACCTGAGGGTGTGTCATGACCTCGAACCAAAGTCATTTGGGAAAGTTCAAGGTCACTGAAAAAAAAGTGCATAATATTTCTGATGCATATTTGGTATTAACCTTTTTATTAGACTGTACCTTAGATTGGTTTTTAAAATTAATTTTTAACCTTTTAAGTCATTGTTAATTTTATTTTAATGTACTTTGAGCAGATTTCCCAATTGAATGCCCTGGACCCAGTACATCAAATTCTTTTCCGTTGGAGGAAACTGAAGATCCAGATGTAATCACAAAATCATCAAGGGTAAAAGGTTGCAGTAAACGAAAACCGTCAAAAGGCAAGGGTAAAGCCAAGGCAAAGAAGAAAAAAGTTAAATTCCCATGTGGAGGATGCAGTTATGAATGTATAGAAAATGCTATAGCATGTGATGGTTGTGATGATTGGTACCATTTTCAGTGTGTTGATATTGACCCAGAAAATACAACAAGTGAATGGTATTGTCAGCATTGCAAAATGTAAGTATGATACTTTGCCTATCGGTTCTTAAACTCATAATTGATCAATGAATTATTTTTATTTTACATAAAATTATATATATATAACAAGGTAAATCTTAATTAAATCTACCGGTATAAACAATTTTTCCAATTCATCAAACCATTTTGACACTATGTTTGGGTGCAACATTAATTGTAATGGTGCATGATTTATATAGTGTACACTCACCTTGACCTTAAAATGACATTGGATCAGCTGGTGCCTTGACATCTCCAGCATTAGACTTCTTTGAAATTGATGGCTGACCAAGTATAACAGAATTCATGGTTCTACAGTATGTAAGGTAAGTGGGGTTTGTATTGTTTCCTTGGAAAATTCCCCTCTGTTGTGAGAACAAGTTTTCAATTATATCAGAGTTTACTCGGCTTGGCACAATCGAACATGATTTTTTTTCCAGTTTATATTCACATAATTCATGAAAACCAATCAGCAGAGATGTTATATCAGCTCTTGTCTGATGAGATATCAGACATTTTTCCTTGTCTTTTATGCTGGTGTCAGATTTAATAGTTTTTTCCCATTGTAGGAACCAGTCTAATGCAGTTTTGTTTTGTACGAGTCTTTGATCTGACCTGTCTGTGATGGGACGTGTATCTCGAAAGTTTTCAACAAGAACACTTGTGTGAGTTAGTAGCTCAATGGTGCTGTTGAGATGGTCACTGCTTTTCAAGGAGATAGCATAACACTGTACCAGATGGAGCATATCCTTATCTAGAACTTCTTCAGCCAGGTGATTTCTCATTTTTGACTCTCCTGTTAGATTGAAGTGTTCATTTGAAAGTTTTCTGTGCACCGGGAAAGGATTAGTTGATTTGTCCCACATGTAAGCACTATATAAATGTTCCCAAAGAATATAATGACTCTTGTGATACAAACAACGTTTGCTCTGAGGTTTGTTAACACTTTTACTTAGATTGTTTCTAATTTTTTTCATTAGATGTGAGTAGTCCATTATAAAGAAGATACTCTGAGACAAAGAAGAAAACACATTCTGAATTCGCATACTAGGAGAGGTGGAGGTAAAGTCACCAAGCAGTATTTTTGCTAAATCTCGATTTGTTGCAGCTCCATCAGTGCTAATATATTGCACATTAAAGCCAAAAGTGTTAAGAGATTGTATGATTTTCCAGATCAGTAAATACAAATCAGAAGCTGAAGCCTGCACAGTTGGGTAGTGAAAGAGTGGAAATCTGAAGCCAGTGAAACCAAGATATGAAAACTGCAAAACATGTGTGGCCAGTTTCAATTCCTTCTTTCCATAGTGAATGCTGTTCATTATACTGGATTCTTCACCGAGATCTGTGAAACCTATTAAATGGTGAAAACCATCTTTGGAATAAAACTGGAGGTCAGATTGAATGGACATTTCATCCAGTATCAGTCCTCCCTCGTATCCTTCTGGTGGTAGATTCTTGGAGTCTGCTTCTGCACACATCCAATGCATAAGGTCTTTGTTTACTCCTGGTTTCTGATGAACCTTATTTTTGTGTAATTGTAGGATGCGCTGGGAGGGCAAGACCATGAAGCCACTCTCACGCAAATCTTTATAGCCACGTGGGCTTCTACACCATAAGCTCAAACACACCCTGATAATGTTTTTGTCCCAACGACGACCATTTTTAGCTGCTTTTAATGCTTCTTGTTGGGATTTTAAAAATGCTAACATTTTAGGGGGACAGTCAGGTATAATAGAGTTCAGAATAGTTTGCAAGTCAGTATGGTCAGGTTCAGACAGTAGAATTTTGTTGTTGTCATGATGGAGGCCAACGATCTTATTTTCATCATTATGACTGAGATTTACTGATGGCAATGACTGTGTTTCTGGGAAAGGAGTGTGTGACTGGTTTGTGATGTCAGACAGAACGGCAGGGGCTTTTGTTGAGGGACATGTAGAAGAACTGGATTTCTCACTTTGTAGATTCAGTGTTGGTATGTTTTCTACAATATTTTTATCAACCTGTTCAGATGTCTTTTTCAGAAAGGTTTTACAAGAAATGCACACATTTGTAGACTGATGTTGCCTTATTGAAAGAAATGTATTGCATGTCGTTGAATGGTAGGATGTTATATGGTTATTGCATGCAATACCGGAGTGAATTACTTTTAGCACATTGGGACTGTTCAGTTGCATATTGCTCTCAGGAACACCTCTGCATATTTTCATTGTTTTAATGGCAGAAAAAATTGATGTGACTGACTTTTCTGTGAGTTCAAAGGTATCATTTAGAAACCCTAAGTCTTTGGGGAGCACTTGTTTCCCACAGGATATCACTTTCCATGTTTTTTCACATATGTCGAACATAACTTCTACAAAAATCTGACTGTTGTTTAATGATACACCAAGGAAATGACCAAATGTTATTTTGCTGCTGTCACAAGGGTTGGATGGAATGTGGAAAAAATCGGGGGGAGAAACTTTGGGGATGTCTTGAATACTGATGTTTTTTGCATTTTGATCTTTAAATTTTATGCCATGATAAATTATTTCAATGTCTGTCCAGTTTGCACACGAACGTTTTCTTTTAACAGTCACTTTAAACAGTTTTTTGATTTCTTTACCTATGGTACGGTTATTTACATTTTGCATTTTCTTTGTAATGTCCTTAATGCTAAGGGAATTGTTTTCATCTTCTTCAATGTTTTGAAAAAGCCTAAATATAAATTTAAAATATATTTGTTAAAAAAATCCTTTTACATAAATTTTTGATTCACTTGGAAACACTTGTTTAAAATGTAAATATGTTGATTTTGCTTCCCCTCCCCCCAAAAAATATTAATATAAAAATATATCATTTTTTTATTATTTTACTTATAAGATTTCTGTTCTGTTTTTGTTCATTTATGGATTTCACTTTGTTACTTGTTTATTTAATTATAGTATTAGAATTATCAATTAAAATATTGTAAATAAATAATAAAAGGTTACCATGCAGTTGTGGGACATTCGTTTTCTTTATTCATTTTGAAATTAGCCGCCAAGAAAAGAATTTGTGAGTAACGTTCGATACTCTCTGGCGTATACATAGCATCAGCGTCATTCGGAACTCTCGATTAATCCGGAACGCCCGTTTTGGTTTCATATGTATGCAACTTCCGTGATTAGAAGTTTAAACGGGAGCAATTGGAGAGAAAATAATTATTTAAAAATATAAGATGGATGAAAAGTTTATGCCTGAGGATTTTAATCATCATATAAGAATTTTCTGGAGAGATGGGGGTTCGTAATTCAGCTGGTAAATGGTGCATATAACTTTTAACAGGAAAAAATCGAGTCTGGGGCACGGAAAGGGGCAAATGAAGTTGCAAGCCTTGTTTCTTTTTAGTATACAGTGGGATGTGTCATTTTTAAAGCGTGTATAAAATCGAATTTCCGCGACATTCTAGTGTATATGAAGCAGAAAGGTTTACAAAAAACTAAAAATTAACACTACACACTGAAAAAAAATGTTACGAGTATAGTTCGAATTTCCTCGACAATACATTATGTAGAAAAAATACAGTATCCTTGACCCAAGCGCCTATGTGCTTTTTATGCATTTAAATGCGGTCAATGTGCGATTTAGAAAATTCCTTATCAGACAGAAGTATCAGGACAGTCCTCATACTGGGCAGTGATTGGTTTAGTTTGAATGAAAACTGGGAGCCCAACCAATCGAAAAGGGCAGTTATTGGCCATGATTTCTCGCCTTCACAAACAAGATCTGTGATAGAATTTCTGTACCTACATGAGATTGATTTATCTTTTGAGGATGTTGAGGATATGTTACACGCAGCTCAATGTTACATGATTTCAGATTTGTCAGAAATGTTTAGATTTTCTTCAACAATCCATATGTTTTAATAAAGCCTTGCATGTTTTACACATTGCACACAAATTTGGGTTGGAAAATGTTGTGCTATTATCATTGTTATACATTGACAATTTTGCTAGAGACATTTTATCCAATAGTCCTACAAATAAAATGTTTTTCAATATCCTATAGATTTGGTTAACTTGATGATCAAACGAAATACATTGTGTATTCATGAAGAAAAGCTATTTTTGTTGATTGTAAAGTGGATATGAACTCAAATCGTAGAAACGTTTCCGAAACTTGGGGAAAATTGATCCAAATATCAGGTTTGGTAGGATGTCTGTTACTTTTTTTTTTATTGAAAATTTACAAAAGCATAATCAATGATGATTTTGCGATGAAATTAATATTTGAATTCATTGAATGTTTGCAAGGACACAATTGGTCCAGCTGTTCAGTCTCGCACTTGTGTGTCAGAGAAGGACATAAGGATCATAGGATTTTTTTCAAGAAGTATAAGCAATACTTGGAAGTGCGATGAATTAAAAGGGGATAGACTTGTGTTTTCTGTAGATAGAAATATACAGCTTCATGGCATCATTTTATATGGCAACTACAATGTTTCACTTTTAGTGGGAGTATCGTATTGTGATGAAATTATTCGTGAAGAGTTGACAGAGGAGTGTGAGTTTTCAGCTAACAGTGTTGCTTTAGAAAAAGACAAGCTGTATACAGTTGCTGTCCACATGACTGGATGTGATGTTTTTTTTTATTTTTGTTTATTTTTTTTAATATATAGAATGAATGGATAAACAACTGTTCAAACAATCTGTGAGGTAGATAAAACTGTTACAGTCACTTTTTCTGACAGTATTTGTAGTTTCACAAACTCAAGAAGAGGACGAATAAAAGGCATTATTTTGCATTGATAATAGATAGTTTTAAAAACAAACGTGTACGCGTACTTGTACGTGTGAATAACAAGTCAGAGTTACACGTACAAGTTGTTCTTACTTTTGTCGTTTAGCAATTAAAACGTGTACGTGAAAATTTTTGAATGTAAAAGTTTTTTTTCATTGGATAATAATAAACATTTGTTAGCTTATAAGCTTTAATTTTACAAACTTTCGAAAATGGCACTAAATTTAAAGATGTTGGCAGCCAGTT